AAAGAAATAAATTTAGGAACTCTGGGATTGGTCAGAGTAATGTAGTGATGAAAGTGCATTAACAGAAGGTGGTCAGATTAATGTAGGCAGAACAGACTACAAAGCCATTACTGATTTTAAAGGGCAGGGGAGGGGAAGGTAAAAAATTTAACTGAAGAAAATACAAACCATTATAACCTGAAATGTGAATGGATTTTTAGTTCCCCAATTAAAAGAATGATGGAAGAAAATAGAAAAATAAAAAACACTTATTAAATCCCTGCTAGTTTCCAGGCAGGCTTTATGCTAGGCACTGTTATTACAAACACAAAAGTGAAATAGTCCCCACTTTCAAGGAATTTACCTTTTACTAGGAAACTACATGTTTCCAAGTGAATAAAGAGAGTGTAACATACTCCTCCTACTCAGCCCAATTCTGTAGTTATAGGTTTGCACACTGGGTCCCTGGGAATGGGGGTGGGGAGGGAGGTGTGGTAATGACTGCTTCACTTCAAGGGGTAATCTTATGGGTCTATACTCCTAACACTGTAGCTCAGGGAGGCCCCCATAAATATACTTCCCTTTTAACTAGCAGACATAACTACCTCTTAGCAAGAGGGTGCAAACTCCCATAACCTGTGCAAGCCAGGTTATAGAACTGTGCACACCCACAACCTGGGGTGCACACTCTCACAAACAACACAGCATCTTTGACCAGAGTGGGCAGAGACTATATCGTGGTGATGAGGCATGCACATAAGGAACATAGGCCAAGCCACTCACAACTCCAGAACGGCAAAGAAAGGTGTTTGTACCTCATGAAAAGATCAGGGGAGACTCACAGCCAGCATTCTTGGAGGCCTTCCATGACTTCTCCCACTATCATAAAGAAGGCTACCCATAAGGTACTCTAGCTGTCCATCTGTCATCTCTCATTCTTACAATGTAACCAGCCCATCTTCCCTTACTATCATACAATTACTTGAGGCTGTCCTTTCCTGTTCCGGTTCCTTGGAGTTCCTCCTTGGTTATGGGATGCAGCCTGTTCACCGGCCCCACCCCACCATGTATCTCTCCATTTCCCTTTGTATGATACTGCTGTGGTCTAGGGGTGCTGGGAACCCCAAAATTCTAGGACAAAAGGCACAGGTTCTGCCTCAAAAGAATTCAACTCAAGTCTTCTTTCAGTCAGAGACAAGGCTTATTAAAACACTGGCTGGGATGATTGAGATTTTAAGAATCCGCGCATTTGTGACGCTTGTATTGACAAGCAGGACGGATTCTTAAGGAATCTGCACAATTTAATGGAGGGGGGCGGTAAGCAAGATGGATCTTTTATACAGAAAGGGTGTAAAAGGATATGGATATTATCTAAGAGGGTCCAAGTGGTCTGGGGTGGGGCCAGGTGCAAACAATGAGGGCCACAATGACAGGGCAGTTAAAAGGGTTACACTGGTGCCTCAGGTAAACACCAGAGACTTGGTTCAGGGGCGTTGGGGTCCTTTTCGGGGTCCAGCACAAATCCCATCCCCTATAAATACCTCTCTTTAGTTCCTTGGAGACAAGGGTGCTCTGCATCTCACTGTCATACACAATAGCGAAACTGTTTTAGTTTGAAAAAAAAATGGACCTTTCCTTTCCTGGGAAGTTTGGGGCCAGTAAAAGAGCTCTGAAACTTCCTGAAAGTAATTCAGCTGGGTCTCTTCCTTTTCAACTCTGCCCTCACTCATTGTCCATAATACAATATATCAGCTGTACATGCTGTTGGACCATGGCAAACTTGGAAACAAACATTGATGATGAAAAATAACATTTATTAATTACATATGCATCAAGTGGCATAGCATTCCATATTCTTAAAAGTTAGGTAAACTGCAATAAAAAATACACAGTGATATTAGGAAACTTTAATATTCCTCTCAGAGCTTGGCCCTAAAAAGACAGGCTTCTTTCTAGAGTTGGGGGGATCCACAAGTATAGAACATTGTATATAACATGAAGCTTTTTTTGATGTGTTGACTGGTTTTACTGAAATTATTTTTTTCTTGTCCTCTTTTCTTATAAGGGAGGGTGACAAAAGGTAGGGGTAGAGGATGACTTAAACTCAAAAGATAGTAATAAAAATCTAATTCTAAAAATTCCTCTCAGAACTGGAGAAATACAGCAAAAATATAAACAAGTAGGAAAACATGGAGTAGTTGAGAAAATTGGGTTTCAAAGATCCGTGGTGATTTCTCAATGAAGTATTTAAAAATATACAATTCTCAGCATCCCATGGCACCTTTTTCAAAAACTGGATGATATACTTCAGTATAAAACAGAGATTCTTAACCTGCAAGATTTTCACTGCAGAAAGGGAGTAGGAAGTCCAAGGGTAAGGGAAGACTCTAGTGGATATGAGCTTGAGAAGACATTGGAAAACTCTGGTCCCTCCTCTAAACCCTTTTGAGATCTTATTTATATATAAGTGTCTATTTGCAACAAAAAAAGTGCCATGGAATATATATGGATTTGTGGGAATATCAACAAATAACTTTCACACACACATATATACACACACACATACACCTCAACCCTGAAGATTATGCTAAATAGCTATCTGTTACTGTACTTATGTAGGAGGACCAGCCCAACTGAATTTGATTCAGCGAGCATTTTATATGCACCACACTGGTAGGCATTAGAAATACAAACAAAGGCATATCTTGGAGATATTGCTGGCTCAGTTCCAGACCATTGCAATAAAGTGAATAACACAATAAAGTGAGTCACAGGATTTTTTTTGGTTTCCCAGGGCATATAAAAGTTATGTTTACACAAGTGTGCAATAGTATTAGGTCTAAAATAACAATGTACATACTTTAATTTTAAAATATTTTATTGCTTAAAAAATGCTAACCATCATCTGAGCCTTCAAGGAGTTGTAATCTTTTTGCTAGCGGAGGGTCTTGCTTCCATGTTGATGGCTGCTGACTGATCAGGGTGGTGGTTGCCAAAGGTTAGGGTGGCTATAATAATTTCTTAAAATAAGGCAACATGAAGTTTGCTACATGGATTGACTCTTCTTTTCACTTGAACACTTAGAGGCTACTGTAGGGTTATTAACTGGACTAATTTTAATATTGTTGTGTCTTTGGGAATACCAAGGCAAAAGGAGAGAGAGACTGGGGAAAGTTGGTTGGGTGGAGCAGTCAAAACACACACATTTATGGATTAAGTTCTGACTGAGAGGCTGGGTTTTTGGTGCCCCAAAACACTTATAATAGTAACATCAAAGATCAATGATCAGAGATCACCATACTAGATATAATAATAATAATGAAAAAGCCTGAAATATTGTGAGAATTACAAAAAGGTGAGAGACATATGAGCACACGCTGTGGGAAAAATGGTCCTTGTAGAACTGCTCAAAGCAGGGTTGCCACAAATCTCCAATTTGTTTAAAAAAAAAGCGCAATATCTGCAAAGTGCAATAAAGCTGAGCAATGAAAGGAGGTATGACTGTACAAGAGGGAAAAGAGTCTTTGCTCTGGAAGCGCTTACTTGCTCCTGGGTTGATATGACTTAAGCATAAATACAAGTTTTGAGAAGGAAGCCAGAATTACAGCTAGGGGACTGAGTCAAACTTCTCATGGAAGACCGTACCTGAGGCTGCCCCGATTGCTGGTGGGACCAAGCCACAGACATAGCACCTGCTGCTCGCTCTGCCCGGACGACTCTGCTCCTCACTGCGGTCTTCAGGATCTCTGACTTCGTCCAAGACTCAGCTCAAAGCTGCCTTCTACAAGAGGCCCTTCCCGGCCCCTTAGCTCCCCTTAAAGTTACTTTCTAATTACTCCGTTCATACGTAATTGCTCGCATGTTTCCCCCAATAGAACGGAAGCTCTTTGAAGGTCGTGTCTGATTTTTGCCTTTCTTTGAATCTCCGGCACTTGGTACAGTGCCTGGCTCATAGTAGATACTGAGTAAACGCTTGTTAAAGAGACCGACCACTTCACCCCTCTGGAATTCCGTTTCCTAGACCTGCGAAGATGCCGGGCGCATCACTGTCCTCTCGCTGTGGCCGCAGACACGCGGAGGAAAGCCGGCTGCAGGACTCATCAGCAGCCCGGCACAAAGGGGCGGTGTCCGTGTGGGGAGCTTCGGGGGGGCCCCGGGAAGGAGAAGAAAAGCACGTGCAGCAGGAGGGCTCCAGGACTCCGAGGGAGGGGCCGCTTTGGGGGATGCACGTGATCCGAGCGCAGCCGGCTTTATCCTGGAATCTGGGCGCACTTGTGGGGCAGCGTGTCCCAGACTTGGAGGGGAGGTGTATGTTTTGCAGCGACTCTCCTGGAGATAACGTCTGCTAAACAACCGGAGTCAAATGCCAGTGAAGCTTGGCTGGCTGAGTACGTGGGAAGACGCATACTGAGTGGGGGTGCAGAAGCCACCTGCTGGGGAGCTAGTGTGCCGGTGGAATTATGGGGGTGGAGGGCAGGCCCAACGCCTGGGCTGCAGTGGGATTCTAGATCGGAGGCCATCGAGTCCAGCCCCTCCACGACGTGAGCCCCAGAGTTAAGCGGCTTGCCCCAAGTAGCAGAGCGCACTTGTCTGGGGCAGGATCCCAGTGCAGCCCTGCGCTGTGTCCGCCACGCCTCCAGGCGGCGCAGGTCGGGCACGTCCCTCCTTCACTTGGGCATCTGCGACTCTCCCCCCAGGAAGCCCCTCCGCCTGTCAAGAGAAGGCCTGGGCTAGGGAGCCAGTAGGAGGGAGCCCCAGCAGGAGGCGCTCCCGGGACCCGAGGCCGGCCCTCACCTCCACCTCTCTCCGCCTTTTCATCGCCTTTGTGCAGCACACGCGCAGAAGCCTCCCCGGGTCTCGCGACTACGATTCCCACAAGGCGCTGCGGCCAAGGCCGTTACCGCTTCCTTGTCGGAGTTACGTGATGGAGACGGGTCACTGGGGGAAACTTCCGCTTTCGCTCCCTCTTTGTCTGCCGATCCTCCCGATTGTTTGCTCCTCCCGGTGAGTCTCCCCGAGCTGCCCTGCGACCACGTGACGCTGCCTCGAGACCCAGGCTCTTGGCCCCGCCCCCGTCGCGCCGGTTCTGGGCTTCGGCCAATCAGCACAGGTTCCGAGCTCCCCGGTCCCGCCCCTGCGCTCCCAGTGGGCTGGGCGGGCGGCTAAGGCTTCCCGTCGGGCTCGCTCCCGGCCAGGGCCGCGCGACCCCTCCTCCGGGCCTCGTCCGCCCGGCGCCCCGAATGGCCTGCCCCTCGTGAGCCCCTGGGCCCGATCCCGGGCGCCCCCGGCTGGCCTCGCGGGGCCCGGACCGAATGCAGCCCCGGCTCGTCGTGCGGCTTCCCCCAGACTCCGGGCCTCCGCTCGTCTCCGGCTCCTGCCTCGGACTCCTCCCGCCGACCGGCCGCGGCCCCCCGGGACCCCCGGGCCTGCCATGCCTCCGTGCCTCCCTGCCTTCCCCCCACCGCAGGGCGCCTCCGCCGTCACCCCCTCTCATTCAGGTGCCTTTTAGGAACTGCCCTTCCCCGTTCCGATGTAAGTTCTGCGGCCGCAGGAGCCGCCTTTCCACTTGTCTTTGCGTTCCCGCAGCCGGGTACACAGAAGGCGCTTAATGAGTGCTTGCGAGACGTGCCCAGTCTTCTACAGGCCGGGGCGTTAGGACCTCCTAACCTAGTCTCGCACTGGAGATAATCGGTATTTCATGCTGTCATCCTCTCTTGCCTGGACTATTGCAATCACTTCAATTTGCAAAAACTTACTAGTTTTGTGACCTCGGGCAAGTCATTTAAACCTCTCAGTGCCTCAGTTTCCTCATCTGTAAAATAAAGACAATAATGCATGGCTACTGAGGATCAGACGAGATGGCTTATGTAAAGTGCCTCGCAGACCTGAAGTGCTGTAGAATGCTATTCTTAATTAGAATCAAGACGTCCCCCATCCCATCCATTCTTCACGCAGCTGTCAAAATCCCAAAGTACAGGCCCTGTCATTCTCCTTAGTGAACTCCACTGTTTCCTTATTACTTGGAAGGAAAAAGGAAAAACAAACTTCTGGGCCTGGCATTTAATACATATGTTATCCCCTATTCACCTCTGCTAACTTTAACCAAATTAATCTGCTTTTACTCCCTCACAACACCCCATCTCTGATCCTATTTCTGGAATAGTCTCCCTCTTGTCTTTTGTCTCTTGGAATCCTAGTTTCCTTCAAGGCTTAAATTCAGTTATCCATATATCAAGTTTTTCTTGATCCTCTCTAACTCGAGTGTCTTTTCCCTGTCCCAAAATTAATTTGTACTTCTGTATTTATTTTTACATGCATATACATTTACATATTCTCTCCCCCTATAGAATATATGCTCCTTGAAGGATGGGTTTTGTTTCTGCTTTGTCTTTGTATCTACAGTGCCTAACATAGGGTCTGGCCCATAGGAGGCTTAAATACTTGTCCATTGATTGAAGGTACCCCACTTTTACTGCATGCAGTCTGAACTTCTGGACCCCAGGTCTGACCTCAGAGGAAGAGAGCTAGGCATTGACAGCTATGTAGCCTGCCTTCCATGACTAGGATGTGACTTCCTCTGTGCAACTGGTATGTGCCTTCTCTTCTTCCTGGAAAGAGCGAGCCACAGTGATAGCCCTTGTCTCCCATCCTTGGAGCACACTGTGTGCTGTGTATTTGCTGCTTCTGACTTCTCTCCTGTCGGGAAGTCTGCAGGTGTTTTAGCCTAGACAGCTGGGATTTGCAAAGTTATGGTGGTCGTGCTGATGGTTCTTCTCTTTTCCCCAGCTGTGCCTTCTGACAACTCTGCTCTTCCACAAGAGAGGAGCACAGAGGAGGAGGAGGGAATGGCTGATGTATTTCTGACAAGCTGGCTCCACCAGGTGAGATCACAGACTCAGAGCTGGGAGAAATCTCAGATGTCGTCTCTTCTAACCTACATATTTGGAAGAGGGGGACCCTGAAGTCTAAAGGGCAGTGACTTTGCACAAAGTCACTCTGAGCTGTAGCTCAAATCCTCTCTCCAAATCCAATTTTCCTCCTCTAGCACCCTCTGGCATTTTATTTTTCCTGAAATGGCCCTCTAGTTCTCTGATACATTTTGACTCACTCTCAGGTTGGAACCCCAGAGACCTGGGTGCTGCACTCAATGGGTATGTACCTGGTTGCCTAGAACCCCTCTTCTTTTTCCCACAGTTTTCATTTGGTCAGTCAGTACTATTTGCCTAGAACTCAGCTATGTGATATAAAGGAATGGCCTTTTTGTATATGCATTGTGTATAAATGTATATGTTTATGTATACCTACATACACATATATATATACACATATGTGCATGTAGATATAGATATGTACCTATATGGTCTCCCTAGTAGATGCTAGTTCCTTGAATGCTGGGAATGTTTCATTTTTAACTTTGTATTCTCAGCATCTAGTGTGCTGCCTGAGTGTGAAGGGCATTATAAGTCAAACAGAAAATTTTATAGTTGATCTTGGAGGCAATAAGGAGTCTTTGGAGTTTATTGAGTAAGAAGTTAACATGGTCAGGCCCACCCTTTAGGAAGATTGCTCTGAGAGCAGATTGGAGGATAGACTAGAGTGGGGAGAGATTGGAGGTAGGGAGGCCAACCAGAAAAAACAGAAACCCTAATTCTGCTGTGGTAGGGGGTTTATAAATTCTTGTTGAATGTGACCCAGATAAATGTGAGAGTGGCCTTTAAGTTGGGATCGTTTGAGTGTAATTGGTCAGAAACGATAAAATTTGTCTAATATTTATTAGTTGCACTGTTGATCTTTAATATCCAAAATAAGTTGGTAGAAACATTTCCTGTCAGATAAGTTCATAGATGGAATGCTGCATTGTCAGCTAAGGACATCTAGTTTTTTCCCCCCCTTGAGTATAAATGTTTTTTTCCTACTTGTTGGTTTGGCTTCATGTTTGTTGATCAGAGGTAGTTTTCAGCATCTGGGATGAGTGCCTAAGGAAAAAATAGATGAGAGATAGATAGACAGGTGAGTGAAAAATACAAAGAATGCACATAAAGCTCATTGATTGATGAATGTCAGCTCTTATGAAAAGCAGCAAGGTAGAACATATAGAATCCTGCCTCTAACATTGGCTGTGTGACCCCTAGTAAGTCACTTAACCTCTCTGAACCTATTTCTTCATCTGTAAAATGGGACAATGTTTGCACATCAACTGTTGGGAGGCTTGAGATAATGTATGTAAAGTACTTTGTCCACGTAGAGCATTTGTTAGCTGAAGACAAAACTTAGTGGAGAACTGAATACAGACTTAGGTAAGGTAAGGGGGGCAGCTGGAGCGAGACAAAGACATATGAACTGAGTAGAGTTTTGTAAATAAAAGTAAAGTGGACTAAAATGCACTGGGGAGTAGCAGCTTTGAGCAAAACCCGGTGTGATGGTTCTTGGGTGTTTGGTTAGATTATGTGAGATCCTCGAATACAGTGGCAGTTGGGATTGCTACAATGAAGAAAGCACGTTTTAATTTAGCAATATTAAATTGTATAATTAGGAAGATTTGCAAGGGAGAGTGTTCGTTATTTCATAGGAATGGTAATTAACTACAAAGAAGAGTCTTCACTGTGTTGCCTCTGACTGGAAATTTCTGCTTACAGTGTTGTGTGTGTCTCATTACCAAATGTTTGTGGATTATACCAACTGTGGGATTTGTGGGTTTAAGAGGGAAGGGTTTAAGAGTGGCAGCCTCTGGCGAAAAGTATGGCAAGGTGAGACTGAACCATAGGGCAATGCTCTGAATTGTGTGGTGTAATTGAAAATGCCTTTCAGTTCAATCCCCATTCTGTTTACGTGACTGTGGGCAAAGAATCTGTCCTCCCAGAGGCTCAGTTTTCTCATCTGCAAGGTGGGATTGTAAGTACTTTACCTACCTCACCACATTAATGTGAGGAAAATGCTTTATAAACCAAAGAGTCATAAGAGATGCATGGAAGAGAAAAAAAGGCCAGAAAGAATCATAAACAAATAGGACAATTGGGAAAATGGTGTGTTGAATTTATTACATATATTTATATATATTTGAATATAAGTGCATATTTTTATCATATTCCGATCTATTTATATATATTTCAAAGAAAAAAAGATTCATGTATGGTCCTCTTCTTCTGTTGCACTATGTCTCTGGAAATGCCTGTTTTATGTGGTGCTTATTAAGTTAAGATCAGATTAAATAAAATTAAAATAAATCAGGGTGAGCATTTCTTATCATGAGAAGTAGAATATAGTAGGATCAAGTGAGTTAATATTTGTAAAGAACTTAGCACTGTCTGGCACGTAGCAGGTGGTTAATAAACGCTTATTCCTTTCCTTAGTACAATGTGTAAGGCACATAATAGGTACTCTCAATAAATACTTTTTTTCAGAACCCTTAATACTCTGAAGTCCCAATCTCTAAACTTCCGTTCACTTTCACCTTTCACTAACATCCATGTGAGGGACAGCCTCTGGCTAAGCAGAAATATCTTCTGTGTTTCAGGAGTCAGTGACATTCAAGGATGTGGCTGTGGATTTCACCCAGGAAGAGTGGAGGCAGCTGAACCCTTCTCAGAAGGAACTCTACAGGGATGTGATGCTGGAGAACTACAGGAACCTTGTCTTCCTAGGTGAGGACAGCATCCTCCCCCAGTGACTGAGAAAATATTCCCTGTGGTCCATTAGGGTGTTGATCAATGTTTGTTTGACGTAATGGGAGAATCAAGAACCCTCATCTTTCTGCTCCCTATTCTCAGGTTATTACTTTGTAAAATTGGAAAAAGCCTGTTCCCCATCCTTCATTGCCTTTCAGCGCTTCTTAAACTAGCTTCTTAAACAGTTTAAGAAGGGCTGAGGGGTCTTGGGTGGACAAAGTTTAAGAAGCCCTGCCTTAGATCAAGGGCAGTACCCCAGGGTAGATATCTAAGCATGTAGAGGATCCTGGTTTTCTGAGAGGAAAAAGGACAAGTGAGATTATTTTCTTTCTGATTCCAAACCCAGTGTGTGAACTATATAGCCATTCCCCTCCTATCCACACACACAATAACAACCCACAGCATAAACAAACCTGCTCCCCAGGAGCACATTATAGTGAAGAGGCTCCCAAACTCATTTGGCTACCTCCCCCTTTAAAAAAATTACTCTGCCCCCCTGGGGTTAGGTTAGGTTGACCCTTATTCAGTACTCCCCAGTTGCACCCAAGGGTACTACCACCCCCTGGATCGGTCCAGGCTCCCCCCCCCCCAGAGGTAGTATCGCCCACTTTGGAAACCTGTATAGAGCAGCCTTCAGAGGGTTTTGGTATCAGCCCGTGATCATCCTGTAATGCCTTCTTCTCTCTGGAGAAGACTTCTGAATTCTGAAGTCATTCTCTGTCCTTGGTACTTTTCATTTTTCATGAGTAATTTTCATCCTGTTTCCAAACTAGATGTGATCTCTCAGCTGGAACAAAGGAAAACCCCATGGATGCTGGTGAGAGAAGACTCTAGAAGCCCCTATGTGGGTGAGTGAGTGCGTGGGAGCTAGGCAGGCAGAAGCTGTTGCTTTAGGTCAGCTCTTAGTCAGCAGGAACCACCTTAGCTATCTTAGGGAACTCTCCTCCAAGTCCCTGGCCTTGTAGAAGGGCTAAAACTGTTGGCAGAAACTCCCTTGTGTTCTCAAATGAACGTCAGACTCTTAACAGGTCACTTTTCTTGAATCATTCCTTCACGTTTGCCTCTATTCTGAGATAAAGCAGTGTCCTCAGCAAGAGATGGAGTGACTGCAGTGACTATTTCTATAGAGTTACGCAGTAGGCATTACTTACCCCTCCTTACCTGGTCATTCCTACTAGATCTGTGGCACTATCCTAGGACTTGATGGAGATGCAAGATAAAGAAAAATATATTCTTTACACGTTAGTTGTGTGTCTGCTTAGAAGACTTAAGACAGACACAGGAAAGAGCAAATGACCATCCTTTGTTATAACACAGAAGAGACCCTAGATTCTCAAAGGCTATGTTAGGGGATTGATTTTAATCTTTGCAGGTCTTTCCAAGCTTAAAAGCTTTCTGGTACTAGCCCAGAATGTCTGTTGTTAATAGATCACCTAACAGGTTCAGAAGGGATTATACTCAAAGTAGCCATGGGCTGATGAAGTTTTGGGCCAGAGCAAGGCTAGAAGATCATCTGCTAAAGGATAAGGGAATAGTGATCTTTGGAACAAGGACCCACACATCTTGGAAGTACTTAAAGATGGCTTTTGGCCCCAAATTCCATCCACTCGAGGTCTTTGGGGCTTGAGTCTGTCTTCTAGAGTGGTAGCTACCCTTCACAGCTTAATGTCATCTTCAGATTTGATAAGCATTGTCTTCTCTGTCCTAAAGTTATCTGATAAAAATATTGAGGAGGAAGAAACAAAGGTATTATAGTACAGGAGGCACCAGAGACCTCCCACCAAGTTAGTATCAATCCCTTGAGCTTTGTCTTTAGGTAGGAGAGTTTGATCAGACGCCTGGTAACACATTCATCTCTCATCATAAAGGTTATCGTGAAAGATTTTTAAAAATGTGTTTGTGAAGTCTAGATACATCATGGCTAGGGTATTCTCCTGATAGAGCAGGAGAACTTCCCACTCAGTACAAGAAAGGAGGCTTATTTGCTATGGCTGGATTTCATACTTTCTTTACTTACTCTATAATTTGAACAGGCTTTGATATCAAAGTAATAATCATAGCTGATATTTGTATAGCCAATGAGGATTGAAAAAGGTCTTTGCTGAGATTATCTCCTTTGATCCTGACAGCAACCCTGAGATGTAGTCAACCAGTTAAGTCAACTAGGGCTCATTCAGCACTCCTTGTCCTGGTTTCCCAGGTCCAGAGGCTGACAGTAAACCTAGCTCTTTTCTGATTGTAAAACCAGCACTGCTTGCCTTTCCCTACATCATCGCTCTCCCTTCCAGCCAGTTGGAATTTCAGAATCCACCTCTCATCTTCCTTTCACCATTTTTATAGAACCTCCCTTGTTCTCTGTGATATTCAGATTTTTAACAACAGATCTTCAGTCACATATACAAATCATTTTAGGCAGGTAGGTGGCACAGTGGATAGAATGCTGGACCTGGAGTCAGGAAGACCTGAGTTCAAATCTGGCCTCAAATATTTACTAGCTGTGTGACCCTGGGCAAGTCATTTAATCTGCCTCCCTGAGTTTCCTTGTCTGTGAAAAGGGGCTGATAATAGCACCTGCTTCCCAGGCACATTTTGAGAATCAAATGAGATGTTATTTGTAAAGCACTTTGCAAATCTTAAAGCCATATACATTGTTATTGTTTAGTTGTTTTCAGTCGTGTCCCAACTCTTTGTGACCCCATCTGAGGTTTTCTTGGTAAAGATACTGGTATAGTTTGCCATTTCCTTCTCCAGTTTATTTTGCAGTTGAAGAACTGAGGCAAACAGGATTAAGCGACTTGCCCAGGGCCAACCACCTAGTAAGTGTTAGAGACCAGATTTGAACTCAAGAAGATGAGTCTTCCTGATTCCAAACCCAGTGCTCTATCCACTGCTTAGCTGCCCCCATAAGCCCTATATAAAGTGCTATTATTATTGTCCTGTGATATCATTGTTTTGGTCAGTCAGCCAGGAAGCATCTAATAAGTGCTTACCATGTGCTAAGTGCTGGGGATACTAAAAAAAGCAAAACCACATTCCCTCAGGGAGCTCACATTCTAATGGGGGAGACAGTACAAGGAACTGTGTACCTACAAGGTTTATGCAGGATAAATGGGAAGTGATTTCAGAGGGCTGGCACCAGCATGGGGCAGGGAGGCAAGCAGGGGAGGATTGGAAGAGGCTCCTTACAGGAGCTGGAAAGGGCAGCATTCCAGGGAGGGGCCCCAGCCAATGAAAAGGCATGAAGTTGGGAGATGGGAGTGGAATGTTCAAGGAATAACACATAAGTCAGTGTAATTGGATCATAGAGGAGATCTGAGGTAGGGAAACCAACCAGAAAGCTATCATAGTTCGGGAATAAGGTGCTGAGGGCCTCTACAAGAGTGGTGACTGAGTGAGTGGAGAAAAAGGGATGTCATAGTCACATGTTGTTTCCTTACATAATATAATACCTGCCCTGCCTACTGCACAGAGTTTTGAAAGAACAAATTAAATATGTGAAAGTTCTTTATAAATTATAATCACAACACAGTTATAAGTGTTTTGTTACTTGTTTTTTGCTTTCAAGTTTGAGGATAATTATCTTTGATGAGAAGGAACAGATTTTTTTTTTTGAGGCAGTTGGGGTTAAGTGACTTGCTTAGGGTCACACAACTAGTAAGTGTCTGTGGTCAGATTTGAACTCAGATCCTCCTGACTCCAATGCTGGTGCTGTATTCACTGCACCACCTAGTTGCCCCAAGAAGGAACAGATTTGAATGTACTATATGTTTTTTTCTAGAATTGAATGCACAAAATAACCTTCTAACAGGAAATGGAATAGTGATTTTTTAAAAAATATGTTTCAGATTGGGAAACTAAACCTGAAGTGAAGAAACCAGTCCTACAGGTGGACATTGATGTGGATAAATCATCCCTGGAAAAATACCCAAGGAATAATTACCAGGATTCCAAAGTGGAAGAAGACTGGGATTTTGATGATAAGAAACTTTCTAAGCATAATGAATTTGGAGAGTCATCTCACTATAATTCAAATCCTTTTCAGGATCATATAACAGATATTATAGAGAGAATTTATGGATATGATGAATATAGGAAAGCCTTCATCCATCTTACTAGGTATCAGGGAATTTATACTGGGGAGAAATTTCATAAATGTAAAGAATGTGGAAAGTCTTTTACCTGCAGCTCATCTCTTAAGTATCACTATAAAATTCATACTGGAGAAAAACCTTTTGAATGTGAAGAATGTGGAAAGGCCTTTATTCTCCGAGCACAACTTACATCACACCAGAGAATTCATTCTGGAGAGAAACCTTATGAATGTACTGAATGTGGCAAAGCTTTTAGGTCCAACTCATCTCTTACCTACCACCAGAAAATTCATACAGGTGAGAAACCTTATCCATGTAATGAATGTGGAAAGGCATTCAGGTCGAAAACACAGCTTAATTCCCATCAGAGAATTCATACTGGAGAGAAACCTTATGAGTGTAATGAATGTGGCAAGACCTTTGCCCAGAGCACACCACTTACTACCCACAGAAGAATTCATACTGGAGAGAAACCTTATGAATGTAATGAATGTGGCAAAGCTTTTAGATATAACTCATCCTTTATTTACCACCAGAGAATTCATGCTGGAGAGAAATATTGATTTAATAAATATGTAGAGGCCTTCCTTTGGGTAGAACATGCCTTACTTCCTGTTGGAAAATTCATATTATCAAGAAACCTTATGAATGTAATCAATGTTAGGAAGTCTTTGGCTGAAGAACACAACTAGCAAAATATTCATCCTAGGAAGATTTCTGAATGTGGAACAGCATTCATTTGAAGCTTATCCCTTACCTGCTGCAAGAAAACTCATATTGTAGAGCAGCCCTGAAAGTGTAAGCAATAAATCAGAAAGCATTATTGCAGTTAGGACAGGAGTCTCATGTTCATTTCTCCCACCATTTAGCAGTAAATGCTTTCTAAAGGAGTAATTTTATGAAAACTCAGCAGCCACAACAAAAAAGATGAAGGATAACTCATGCATAAAACTGATGTATTTAAGCCACATTTGCTGGGCTGAAAGTTTTGGTTTCAGTTAACTGACTTTTTGACTTCATATCAAGATACAGAAACAGAAGTAAGTGCCAGTGGATCCACAGAGAAAGCATAGCTCAAAGGAAGATCGCTGATATTTCCTTATATATGGGGAAAATCTTGCTTCCTCATGTGGGCTGTGGTATCGTCTTCAGTTTTCCCTAGTTCCAGAATCTCTGCTGTGTGGAACCTAGGGGCCAGGCTTCTATTTTGTTTCCAGAGGACTCTGCAGAAGCCTTTCTACAGACAAAAGGGAGAGCTTCTGAAGGGCCCCCCCTCAGCCTTAAGCAAAGGTAATGAAGAGCAAGACTTCGGGCATTTCCAACACAAGCAAAGCTATGTATCCATGTTTCTGTCTATCTAGATCTCTCGATACACACATAGAGAGAGAGATGTGTGTATATATAAAGATATGTAGGTATCAATATAAAGATGTAACATAGCCATAGATGAAGAATTCAGAGAACATGCAAAAACTTCTATAAAGTGATGGAAGGAAAAAAGTATAACCTAAAGGATAATACACATGTTGACTATTAACGATATAAATGGAGACAGCTTCAAATGGTGTAATGTGTGGTTATTTCATATATATATGTATATACATATGTCTTCTAAATAAATGTTTTCCTAACTAAAATCGTAACACAGTAAAGAACAGAAGCATACAAGACTTTAAGTGAAATAGAGAAAACAGAATCAATGCATCAAATATAAAGGGTAACTCAACCGGGGGGGAAATCTTTGGCATCTCATATTTCTAATGAAGGTCTGATGTCTAAATAAATGGGAAATCACACAAATATGTGACTGAGATCCACTCCTTACTAGATAAGTGGTCAAAGAATATGGAGAAACAGAACTCAAAACTCAAAAGAACTGCAAACTATTATAAAGCATGTAAAAATTGTTCCATATCACTAATAATAAGAGAAATACAAGTCAAAACAAATCTGAGGTTTCACCTTACACTCAGCAAATTGGCAAAGATGACTAAAGATCGAAGTCAGTGTTGGAGAGACTGAAAAGACAGGCACAATAATACGTTTGTGGAGTTATGGTTCCAACTATTCTGTAAAACAATTTTGAATTATGTAAAAAGCTGACTTTTAAATGTTCATACCCTTTTACCAAGAGATGTTACTGTTAGGCTTATGCTAAAGAGATCAAGGATAGAAAGAAAGAATCAATGTATATCAAGATATTCATAGCACTACTCTTCGTGGGTAGCAAAGAAGTAGATAAAAAGTACATGTCCATTGAATGAGGATGGCTAAGTAATTGTGGCACATAAATGTAATGGAATATTATTGCCTTGTAAAAATGATGATTAGGAATGCAAAGAAACATTGGAATATTTGTCTGAACAAATGCAGAATGGGGTAAGTAGAACCAAGAAAACAGAACAACAACAATGACAAAAACAATGGAAAATGTAATGCTTTGTGTAATTATAATAACCAGTCTTTTCCCCTGGAGAAGAGATGAGGAGATAAATATTCCTCCTTTCATTGGGGAGATGGGTAATGGGCATGGGGTGTTGAATATGCCATTGGATGTAGTCAGTGTATTGAGTGGTTTTGTTAAATTTCCTTTTTTCTTAGAAGGGAAGGCTCCCTGGGTAGAGGAGGAGAAAGGTGAATTATTAAGAAGTGACTTGTGATACAAAAACAAAAGGCATCAATAAAATTTTCTTTAAAAGTAATTCATTGGTACCAGTATGTAGGAGACAATCTCTTCATCTATTCTAATGGATATTAGTAGGTAATTCAGGCAAGTCTGGCATATTTTTGTGTAGGCTACTTTAAGAGAAAAGCCATAAAAGAAGATTTCTTCACCTAAGAAAATGCAAGGATTGGATTCTTGTATATGTTTAAGTTATTTCTATTGGGTGAAAGGGCTTTTGTTTCTGAACAGATTTTTTTCCTTTGTTTTTATCTTTAAAGAAAATGTCTGAGATGAATTTATAATGGATTTTGGGAAGATTTCAGTGTGTTAGGACATAGCAGAGCCCAGACCCACCCAGTAAAGCTCTAAAAATCCACCAGATGGAACTATGATAAAATCAAAGCAAATCCACTATAAACTCCTAGATCTGGTCAAGGATTGCACAAAGAAAATAAAAAAATATATAAAGGATTGCTAGAATCTTGGGGAAGTATGGATCAGAGATAAACTGGGTAGGTATAAGGTGAAATGTGAAAGAGCCCAGTCCCACATCAGTAAAAAGGGTCAGAGCATTGCCTAACACAAGCAACTCAGAGACCCATTCCAGATTGGAGGCTGGAGACAGCCCAACCAACCACCATATTCAAGGTGATCCAAGGACACCAATCAACGACAGAAAAAAAGATTCAAACCAGTGTCCAGACCCAGCTCAGGGTAACCTACAGACAACTTCCATGATAGAAGACAGAGCCAAAGGACTGTCCAGTATGGATTTTCTCAGGGGCCCACTCTGAGACAAGAAATGAGGACAGACCGGCACACAAGGTAGGGTGACCTAGGAGCCCTACTTGTGGTAGGAAATAGGACTGGACCAGCATCCAGGCTGCCTGGGCCTGAGACAACAATGGACAAGGCCAATCAACTCCTACAGATGATGAGGCCCCATCTTAGCTACTGAACTCAGAATCAAGCAGAGTTATATACCATCCAGGAATATAGGAGCAGAGTTTGACCTGTATGTGAATTCCTAATAAACTGAAAATGCCAAACACAAGGAAGAAATACCTTGGATTTAGAGAAGTGAGGGTAAACCCAGAAGAAGAGAATAACTTCAACAAGTCTGAGTGTGTCCTCAAAGGAAATAATGTCTACCATAAATTAAGAATGCATGGAATACATGAAATAAATGCAAACTAGTATAGCTATGGAGGGAAAAAATGGGATGGCGATCGTTACTTTTGAACAGATAGTGGCAAAAATTACTCAAGAATTTAATCCTTGGAAAGTTAGAGTGTACCAAACAAATAAAAAATGATTCTAAGATACAAGAAATATTAAAACAAAATCAAAAGATTGAACAAAAAAAGAAAATGTTAGATGTATGCGATCAAAAACAAACATAAATTTTAAATCATTACTTGAAGATTTAAACCAACAGCCAAAATATAATAATGAGACAGCTAAAAATTATTTTTAGACAGCTAAAAATTATTTTTAAAAACATGAGGGAAGTAGAGGGGGAAATGGAGAAAGAAATGAGAGCTACGGAAGGAAGATATAAAAAGAAAAATAACAGCTAGGAACAAGAGGTACAAAAACTTCCTCAACAAAGTAACTCCTTAAAAATTAGATTGAGCAATAGAAATTAATGACTCCATAAGACATCAAGAAATTTGTTCAGTCTTTTCAGTTGTGTCCAACTCTTTGAGACCTCATTTGGGGTTTTCTTGGCAAAGATATTGGAGTGGTTTGTTGTTTTCTCCAACTCATTTTACAGATGAGGAAACTGAGGCAGAGTTTTATAACTTGCCCAGGGTTACACAGCTGTTCAAGTGTCTGAGGCTGGATTTGAACTTAGGAAAAGGAGTCTTCCTGACTCCAGGCCAGGCACACTATCCACTGTGCCACCTCCCTGCCCCTGCATCAAGAAATATTCAAAGTTAAAAGACTGAAGAAAAAAAGATGTGAGAACCCCCCCACCCCCCGCAAAAAAAAATAACTGACCTGGAAAGATCTACTTGATGATTTTGAATGAGATCATTTATCATGGGACTTCCTGAAAGCCATAACCAAAAAAAGAACCTAGTCATCATATTTTGAGAAATCTGGAGAGAAAACTGCCCAGATCTTTTACAACCAGTGGGCAAAGTAGAAATTAAAAGAACTACCACCTCCTGAAAGAAATCCCAACATGAAAAGTCCCAGGAATATTATAGCCAAAATCCAGAGCTCCTGAGATTTAAAAAAAAAAAAACACTTCAAGCAGCCAAAAAAAAAAAAAAAGAATTCAAGTACCAAAGAGCCATAGTCAGAATCACATGAGATTTAGCAGCAATCAGTCCTAAAGAAATGAAACTGGTAACACATACTCTACTGACTACAATACAATTAAAGAACTTTTAAAGAAAATTTAAAATTAATTGGAGACAATAATTTAAACCTAAATAATTGGTGGATCAAAAAATCATAGTAAGAATAGAAAATCTCTTCAAAGAGGGGAGGGAAGACAAAGGAATAAGTAACATCTACTGTGTGCTAGACATTGTGCTGAGTGCTTTTCACAAATATTTTCTCATTAGATCTTCACAAAAAATCCTGTGAGGTAGATGTTTTTCTAATCCCCATTTTACAGTTGAGGAAACGTCATGACTTGCCCAGGGTCACACAGCTAATAAGTATCTGAAGCCAGATCTGAACTCAGATATTCCTTACTCCTGACCCAGTGCTCTATACACTGCCACCTAGCTAGCTCAAAAAGAAAAAAAATTAAAATGATAGAACATACCAAAATAAATGTATGAGATCCAGCTAAAGCCATCATTAGGGGGAAAGTTACATCTCTAAACACTTTCATCAACAAAATAGAAATCAGCAAAATCAATGAATTGGGCATGCAGAAAAAAAAAATAGAAAAGAAACAAATCAACCACCCCTAACCAAACATGAAAGTAGAAATTCTGAAAAGCAAAAAGAAATCAACAAAATTGAAATTAAACCATTGAATTGACAGATTAAAAGAAGGGCCTGATTTTTTTAAAAAGCAAACATTTAGCAAGTCTGATTTTTAAAGAGAACAAAACCAAAATGTTCCTATCAAAAATGAAGACTCACAACAAATAAGGAAATAAAGGAAACTATCAGAAATTATTTTTTCTGATTATATCCCAACCAAATTTTTAAGTTAGATGAAATAATATAATTACAAAACCATAAAATATTCAGATTAGAAACAGAAATAGATAATTTCTTTTTAATCATAAGAAAATTTTAAAAGCCATAATTGAATTTCTGACGAAAAAAGCCACCAAGGGGACAGCTAGGTGGTACAATGGATAAAGCACCAGCCCTGAAGTCAGGAGGACCTGAGTTCAAATCCAGCCTCTGACACTTGACACTTACTAGTTGTGTGACCCTGGGCAAGTCACTTAACCCCATTACCTAGCAAAAAACAAAAAACAAACAAAGAAAAAAGCCAGTAAGACTAGATGGATTTATAACTGAATTCCATCAAATTCAAAGTATACTTAATTCCGTTATTACACAAACTGATTGCAAAAATAAAAGAAAGGGCCCTTCTAAATGCTATCATGTAATTATGATCTTGATACCTAAACAAGTAGAGAACAAATCAGAGAAAGAAAACTACACATGAATATTTCCAATGATCATTGGTGCAAAAACATTAAATCAAAGATTAGCAAATTGGCTTCATTAGCATATTGAAAAGATTATACATTATAACCAGGTTCAATTTATACCAACAATGCAGGGCTGGTTCAAGATAAGGGAAACTATAAACATAAAAGACCATAATAAAAATAATTTTAAACATGATTATACCAATACATACTGAAAAGGTTTCTGATGAAATCCAACACATGTTTTTATTAAAAGCAATAAAAAGCATAGAAATAAATGGAATTTTCCTTAACAGGGTAAGTAATATCTCTGAAACCAAGAGGACACATATATAACGGAGAAAGATTGATGACTTTTCCAGTAAAATAAGGTATAAAGCAAGAATGCCATTGACACCACTATTGTTTAACATTGTTAGAAATGCCAGCTGTAGCAATAAGAAAATGAAATTGGGGGGATAAATATAAGCAAAGAATAAACAAAATCTTTGCTTTTTTCCAAATGACACTATGGTTTATCCAGAGAATTCTAAAGAAGTTAATTGAACCAGTATAATTTAGCTAAGTTACCAAACATGAAATAAATCCACATACATGTTCAGCATTTCTCTGTATTACCAATAAAGGTAAACAAGAAGAAACAGAGAAATTTCTTTAAACTTAACTACAGATTGTATAAAATGTTTTGGTGTCTACCAAGACACACATGGGTAATATAAAAATGCAACTATAAAACACTTTACAGAAGTAGAGACCTAAATACATTCAGAAATTTTAAAAGCTCTTGGGTAAACCATGCAAATATAATAAAAATGACAATAACACCTAAGTTAATTTACTTATTCAGTGCCATACCAATAAAACTATCAAATGATTACTTTATAGAGCTAGAAAAAACAATAATGAAATTCACCTGGAGGAACATAACATCAAAAATTCTAAGTGAAATAATAAAAAAAAAAGAAAGGAAATAGACCTCCCAGTACCAGCTCTCAAAGGGTATTACAAAGCAGTAATCATCAAAATGATTTGATACAACTTTAAAAAAAACAGATCAAGTGGAACAGATTAAGTATACAACATACAGAAGCAAATAAACTCAGTACTCTAGTGTTAGATAAACCCCCAGACTTTGGCTACTAGATTAGAGACTCATTCTGACCAAAAAAAGTTCTGGGAAAATTGAAAAATAGTATGGCATAAACCAACTATAGACTAACATCTCACACCATATGGTAAGATAAGCTCCAAATGGATTCATGATTTAGACATAAAGCATTATATTTTAAACAAAAGCAAAGAACACATTACATTTTGGATCTATGACTAAGAAAGAGCTTATGACCAAATAAGAAGTAGAGTTGATGACCAAAGATAAAATGAATAATTTTGATAACAT